CTCTTTCCCACCCCTTTTGGTTTTACTGTAAAGAATACAACATAGCATTCGATAGTTTTTAGAGAGGTAAACATAGCCACTTAGAGTTGTAAAGGTTTTAATGAGGGGGAAAAAGTTTTAAAAAAGGAATCTTCTCTTACATGCTGTTGTGCTATCCTAAAAAATAGTGAAAGAGATAATGAACTTGTGCATGTCAAAAATACAGGTTGTGGGGGACCAGCAGTTAGCGTAATGGCTATGTCGTGGACTCCCACGTAGTTGACCCCGGTTCGCATCCCGGACCCGTGACTTAAACTCACGCCGGGCGCGTGTGCGTGCATGCCCAAGATCCCGAGAGGAGAATGGAGGAGAAGGGATTGCGGCGTGGTCATCCCCCCTGGGGGGTGATTTCTCGCTTTCTGTCTCTCTGTCTCTCTCTGTCTGGCGAGTGCACATGCCCTATAGCGAACAACAACAACAACAAAAAAAACCTCTCTCAAAAAAAAAAATACAGGTTGTGAACACCTGAGGCCCAAAGCTATTCTTGTTGTATCTGGAATGACTGCTTAAATGCTGGGTTATAAACTTCTCTTTATTTTATATACTAAAGCTATAATTTCTTATACTATACGTGAATCAAATTTGTATGAAGAAAATGCAATAGAATGTAAAATCAACACTGTATTAATGGCCTTGTAGAACACCACCCAATCTTAACTATACCGAACTTATATTCCAGGAGATGAGAATTTACCTAATTTTCATATGTAAACATTTAAACATCAAAATAAGAAAGAAATCACCTAAGGCAAAAGTTTGATAACAAAAGTACAGATTATTGATTTATCTCCATCTCTTTCCTCTTCAGATATAAAGGTCACAAGAACCTTAGCTTGTGAAGAAACTAACACATTTACTAAAACATCTAATTAAAATACATATATTTCTAATTCCTAGAAATATGACTAGTGAAGTCATCTTATCAAGCCTTGGCAAACTACTTACTGAGCTGCAATTAATTCCTTATCACCTTCTAGAGTAAATTCATTTCTAAATTTTCTAGTTGCCTCATCTTTACATCTTGTTAAGCAAACTGTACAAATGACCATGCTCCCACGTTTCAGAGACTGAGGATGTCTGATGTGCTTTTGTGCCGTAAGATTTCCATCGTCTCTTTCAGTTGGGTCATCAGCAAAATCATGACACATTTTTGTAGAGAAAAGCATAGAGAAGTATGTCGTGACCCTCCTGATGACCTAATATCTCAGCAGTTCTCTTACAGTTTAGAGGCGAATTATTTCTTTTCCTCTCTGCTCTCCAATGATAGCACTGTTACTCTTACCCATTTTCTACTGTTTCAAGATTTTGTTCCATTAATTATTTTAAATCTTCAGGCTCTCTCTCTCCAGTAGAATCGTCGCTCTAGTCTGACTGGAGAAGTAGTGTGCTCTCACGATATTCACTCATTCCTTGAAGATCTGGCAATGGGTTTACTTACTATCAGTTGCAACTGTTCTTTTGAATACCACCAAATCTGAAGACTTTTGACAAAAAAAACAATCCTCATTCTCCATATCCTTTCTATAGGAAGTAACATTGTCCACCTCCATGTTTGTTTTTCCATCTTTGTGACTTTTCCTTCTACCGATTTCTCAAAACAGGCATTCACCTGTTTGTGGGCCTCCTTTTTTTTTCTCTTGTTAAAGTCAAGCAATATCATGACCTCAAATATCATTTTTAGGCAGAATACTCCCATGAAAGTTATATTTCTTGCTTTTAACGCTCATAAATTCTAGTCCAAATTCCTTTGGAATACTGGACATTTTTATCCTATTTTTAGATTTTTTGCCATAGGGAATAGGAGCTGGCTGGAGAAAGTCAGAGAGAGGAAGTGAGAAATCGCCCGTCCAGAGGGGATGGACCTACTATAGTCAATCCCTTCTCGTACATTCTCAGGATTATGGACATATAAGTGCACATGCCCAGCATGATTTTTTAAGTTGCTACTCTGGGATTAGAACCAAGGAGTCAGCCATGTGGGAGTCCAGTGCCTTAACCAGCATGTCACCTGCTGGCCCACAATGTTGGACATTTTGAATCTCCCCTTACGTATATGTCAAACTTAATGTGTTCAACGTTTCCTGCTTATCTCTGTATTTCACCACAGCCATTACAGTTATCTTCTTTCCTTTTGTCCTTTCTTTACCCCAAATCTCATCAGTTACTACATTCTATCAATTTGTTTTTTATGTTATTTCTTATGTCTCATAGCAATCATTTCAGCTTACTCTTTCTTATTCTCTCATGAACTATAGAGAAGTCTAATACTGTTGACATACTATACTGGTTTCTCAAGACTTTCTCCCAGACCATACTGGGTGGATCTGAGGCAATTTTACCATGTCTCTTTACACCAAGATGGAGCCTGGTATTATTATTTCCTACTATTGTCCTTTCTGCCCTCTGCACAGATTAAATCACCTACTCTTGTAAATACTAGACACTTTCACAATTCATACTGTTTTATACTCCTTTTCCTCTGATTACTTTATGGCAGTCCTGATTCCACCTGTAAACTTGAGGCCTGGCTCATGTACCACATCTGTTCCCCAGAGAATGGAACATTCTGTGAACTACCAAATCAGAGAAAATATTACCTGCCCAATTCCAGGCAATATATTCTTACCCTCCCTCAGAAAACTTACACCTTGAAATTATAAATATTTCCCTATTTAGAAGAGCAGTGCCCCTGGAAAGAATGGGTTGTTAGTATCATAAAATACATAAACACATACTGCTCACCGCCTTTCTGCCTACACATCTTGCTTACATTTTGACTAATCTGCTTTTCCTCTAACTTTCTCTTTTACTGTTTACTTACTTTATTTATTTAAGGTTTTTGCTGTAGGGCATGTGGGCTTACCAGAGAGAGAGAGAGAGAAAGAGAAAGAGAGAGAGAGAGAGAGAGGAAAGTGAGGAATCACCTGCCGGGAGGGATGGTCATACCACAATCCCTTCTCCTCTATCCTCTCGAGATTCCAGGAACACATGCACATACACCCAGTGTGATTTTCAAGTTGCAGGGTTCATGACTCAAACCACAGTCAGCTACGTGACAGTCCTGCACTTTCACTACCAAGTTACCTGCTAGTCCCTGTTTACTTTTATTTAAGAAAGGGAATGTGTACATTTTTTTAAAAAATTCTTACAATAGATTCTCACCTACCCTAACTCTTTTCTTTTCTGTATGACTAAGAACTGATTTCTCACTTATGTCTCATTTCTGTCTCATTCTTATTTCCATATTTGTAAGAAAGAAATTATTTTTTTAACTTTCTATTTCATCAGTTTGAAATTACTTTATTTATATTATGCTATGTGGTATTAAGACAAAAATACTTTTAAGTGTAAATTACTGAAATAAGCTAGAATTCAAGGCAGCAGCTACTGAAACAGGGTTCTATGACATCACACAGGACAGGATCTGGGGGAAGTTAGCAATTCACTTTTTGGAAACCATGAGAAATCTCACTGAAGTGGTACTGGAACTAGAGTTTGAAGAAGCAGTTCATGACGTGGGGACAGTGGAGAGTAGGAGAGTGGTGGAGAAGACACTGCAGGCTCAAAAGTCAATGCTCAGAATTTTTAAAGAACACAGCCTTTAAAGGGTAGAGGGGCAGAAAACACCTGAATTTGAAAAAGAGGACAATGGTGAGTGGTTCCAGCTCAACTATTGAAAAGAGAGAGGTGCCATGGGTTTGAACATAGCATATGCTTAAACCTATGAAACAGGGGAAAAGAGAAATAGCACAGAAGTAAGAGAGTAACTGCCATGTCAACTTAGCTGCATTGACACTACGAGGGTCTGTGCATAGATACTAAAAATATTTAGTATTAAGATCTACACAGAGCTCATCCAATCAGTGAACACTGGCAGAAAAATGGGAAGGGATGCAGGTGAAGCCAGCTGTGATTTAGTAGTTTGGAGTCTCCAAAGATATTTAGAGCATACCAGTTCAAAGTTTGACCAGCACGTGCATTAGTCCCAGGTCCCAGACCAGAAATGTGTGTCTAATACATGCACAAGACTCTCTTCAGATACACTTTATTCTCTGTGATAAAAGAGACAGTCATTATCTTACAAACTTAAGAAGAGAAAAATATATTTTAAATGTAAAGAAACCTGAGTAAAACTCAAGGCAAACTATAACTCTTTTTTTTTTTTTCATTTTTCTTTTTTGTTATAGGGTGTATTCACTCAGCAGAAAGAGACAGAAAGAGAGAGAGGGAAAGTGAGAAATCCCTTCCCAGGGGGGTGGGGGGATGGCCACACTACAGTTCATTCTCTTTCGGTTTCTTCTTGGGATTTTCAGCAAGCATACACATGTACAGTGTGATTTTCAAGCCACCAGCTCTGGGGTTTGAGCCATGCAATCGACCACGTGGGATACAGCTGTCCAGCCATCCTAACATCAACCCATCTGCTGTCCCAAACTATAACTCTTATAGATGACAACTAATCATTAGTCATGTAGATACTGAGCTAAATTCTTCAGCAATTTGTTGGTAACAAAGAAAAAATTACTGTAGAGAAAAAATTATGTCCAAGAAGAAAGACCAATACAAAAATAGAAAAGAATATTGAGATGAATAAATATGTCTTTAGATATTAAGAATATAAAGTACACAAAGGCAACAGCAATGGTTTTCTCTTTTTTTCAAGTTATACTTTATTTTTAAGAGGGAGCTTTTCCTCTCCACTTAGAAAAACCACCTATCTCCATTTACATTATAGAATTCATGTCTA